AATGCGAATCGAACCGAAATAATCGAAATCCGAAATCCAAAAATTCGTAATTCGAACTGAAAAATTCGAACCAAACCGAAAAATTCGAAATTCTAAATATTTTTATTATTATTTTTTAAATTTTTAAATTTTCTTTTATATTTTATTATTATTTTATAATATTAAATATATATTATATATAAATTAAATATATTAAAATATAATTAATAAATTTGAGTTTTTTATATTAAAATATACTATTTTCTAATAAAATATTAAATATGTATAATAAAAAATATATTAAAATGTTATATTTCCGATTTCGGATTGGTTCTGAATTTAAGTATACCGATACCGATCCGATCCAATTCGAACAAAAATTCGAAATTTGTTAAAAATTCAATCCGATCCAATCCGAAAAATCCGAACCAAATTTTAAATTTCGATTTGGTTCGAATTGAATTTTCGGATTTCGAATATTTTGCTAACCCCTACCCAACATTGAAATTAAACAAAAAAAAACAATGAAATTAAACAAAAAACAATGGAGTGAGAGTCATTATTATTTTATTTTTTCATTTAGTCAATCTACAATATATATTTTCATTTTTCTTTCTAAAAAAAATAAATATTTTATTTGCATAATAGCAAATCGAACACGCACATACATATAAATATATTAAAATTTAAAATGTTGAATTGGGCCTTTCATTTTGAGTGAGAGTTTATCAATTTTGGGCTTTAGATAGATCGGTTATTTGTTGAATTGGGCCTCTCATTTTGAATTGTTTGTCTACTCTCATAATTGTTATACATTTTTTAGAATTTTCAAAATTATACATAATTAAAATATCATATTAAAATATTCTCTCCGTCAGTTCAAAGTACCATTTTTATCATTTTTCGTCTGTTTTATTTCAAAATATTCATTTCCTATTTTAGTAAAAAACTAATCATACAACAATATTAAAATACCTTTTTTAACTTTTACCTAAATTACAAACATACCATTACGCATATAATTACTTTTTACTCAAAGAGCAAAAATGTCAAAATCTCTTATATACTAAACAAAAATTCAAATCACCTCTCCGTTTCAAATCAATTCCAAATCATACCAAACCAACCCTAATTTTTTAAGTTTAATTGATATAATAATTATAATAGATATTTAAAAAAAAATTACATTAATAATTTTTATATTTAGATAAATTATTTGTAAAAATACTAAAACTCTAAAATTACAAGTATAAATTTGAATTATTTATAATAAATTATTAGTGTAATTGAGAGTGACGGGATGGAAGCTGTGGGCTTATTGAAAATAATTCAGCCCAGATGGATATTATTCCTCAGGTCAAAATTACACTCGTTTCTTTAATCTATTTTATTTTACTGCAATTTATTAACGAAAATAATTATACTACAATGCTAAACCAAATCTAAATTATATAAATTAATTACTCTCTGCTTGCTCATAAAAATAAAAAATAAAAAAATAAAAAAAAAATTATTAAAAAATAATTGTTGTTTAAATATTTTTTAAGAAAAAAAATTAATAATAGTTTTAATATAATTAAATATATCAATTTTAATTTCAATATAAAAAAATTCATCAACTCTAATCACATTATAAATAATTTTAATCAATTTTGCTTTCATCGTTCAAAAATTAATGAAAATTTGTGAAGTAGACGTAACGGGTTGACGTGACAGCCGATCGGAAAACAATATACCAATGTACAATTATACACGTTCATGTGTCACACAGTCGTATATCTTTATGTTTTGATCTAAAATTATATTTTTTAGTTATATAATTTTTTGGAAAAAATATATATATTGAATTTAAAATAGTTGAAATAATTACAATGGAAAAAATCAATAGTAACTTCAATATAATTAAATTGTATCAATTTTAGTTATAAAATAACAAATATATCCGATGTATTTTTTGGAAAATTTCGCAATATAACAAAAAATAATTAAATAAAAAAAGAAAAATATACGGCCGTGTGATAATATAAGCATGTATAATTGTATACGGATGTGTAGTTATCAACCCATTACGTTCATGTCAGCAATTTTCGCTAATTGTTAAACGATGAAACCAAAATTGATTAAAATTGTTTATAATGATGACTAAAATTGGTGAATCTTTTATATTGTAACCAAACTTGATACTCTCTTCGTCCCAACTAATTTGTTCACTTTAGCTGGACACGGAATTTTAAGTATTACGTAATTACTAAATAAATAATAAATGTATTAGTAAAAATAAGTATATATTAAGATTAATATTAATATTAAGATGACTAAATAGTTTAATTAAAATAAAACAATTATAAATGATAGAATTTTAAAATGAGGTTAAAGTATATAATTATATTTTTAAAAAATGACAAATAATATGGAACAGACCGAAATATAAAAAATTGACAAATTATATGAGAAATAAAAAGTACATTTTAATTGCATTGAAACTACTATTAATTTTTTCCTTATTTTTTATTATAAAAAAAAACAAATAATAATAATTATTATCGATATTTTTAATAATTCGTACTCAAACATTTGAACACAAAATTCAAATGATTATATTTTAACGGTACAAAATGCATGTTTTAGAATCTCCCAAGCAAGTCTACATGGAAATAAATATATTTTTTATTAATATTAAAAATATTCTTACTATTTACAATGTATAAAATAAATGTTATTATTTTTATATCAACAATACTAATAATATTATTTTAGTATTTTCTACTTTACTCATACCATATTTTAATATAATATTAATATTACTAAAAACTTCGTGCAAAAAATAAACGAATAGATAAATAAGAGACAAAGGAGTATATATTAGTATAAATTTAATTTTATACTCTTTTCTTTTACAATCTATCTATTCATTTCTTATTTTGCATGAGTATTTTATAGACAAGTGGTACAATAAAATAAAATGTTTTTTAGTCTTAATTTCATTAGATAAGTAGTAACTTACTTTTCAATGATATATTATAAATATATTGCGTAAAATATAAAAAAAATTTATATTTAAATAAATTTTACAATTAGTTAGAAAAAAAATAAACAGATTGATTTAAAAATTAATTTTACATTAAAATTTCATCTTAAAAATTGCTATATGATTAATCTATGTTAATTTTAGAAGTGATATGTGGGCACACGTGGGAATATTTCACCACCAAAAGACGACTATGAATTAAAAATAGAATCACTTCCATATAAGGCTTACTTAACAATCAAAGTGATAATAAATATAACGCATAAGTAGGGATGACATACCGTACCGAAAATATCTGTCGATACCGATATCGTATCGAACTTTTCTATATGACAAAAATACATACCGGTGCCATATCGAAAGTTTCAATATATCGAATTTTGATATACCAAAATTTTCGGTACGGTACCGGTATATACCGTTTATACCGAAAATTTTAATTTCAGTACGATACCGGTATATATCGCTTATATCGAAAATTTTGATTTCGGTAGATACCGGTATATACCAAAAATATAATTTTAAATTTCAAAATAATTAAAAATAATAATAAATATCACTATTCTCTATCACAAAAATATTATGAAAAAATCGATAAACTTTCAATAGTTTACATATTTTTTGTTATGATTTAAGAAAAAATTAATAATTATTATTTATATTAATAATTACATTATTTAATAAAAATAATATCAGTACTGTATCATACCGAAATACCGAACTCTCTGAAAATTAATACCTGTACCGAAATTTTTGATATTTTCAACACGATACGGTACGATAAGTCAATGTTTCGGTATATTCTGTAGATTTCTACATTCCTACACATAAGACTAAAATACATTTGTTTATTTTTTATTAAATCGTAATATTTAATATACTTTTAAAATTGTTTCATTGATGCAAATATATATATATATATTACACAAGTTTGTTTGTTTAATTTTTTTTTTCCCACGATTTTTAATATATTATATTATCTTAGAAAAGTCGATATCTTAATATTAAATACTCTCTTCGTCCAATTGAAAAATTATTATTTTTTATTTTCGTCCGTTTAAAAAAAAATGTTACTATTTCATAATTAAATAATTATACTACTTACTTAACATAATAAATATCATTTCAAGTTACAATATATTACACAAATATAGTATACAATACTACTATGGGTATTTTTATTTTTTTTCACTACAATCTAATGTATAATATTAATATTAAAAAATTACATTAAAAAAAATAAACAAAAATCTTTCAATGAGACAGAAAAAATATTATTTTTTTATATTACCGACATAATTTTTTTTATATATCACATCAGAAAAATTATTTAAATCAAAATACTAAACAATCCGAATATATTTTTATGATAACATCCGGGTTGAATAGTATTTTCTTCGTCTCAAACAAGGTACAAAATTTGATTTGGCACAAAATTTTAGTGGATAGTATTATATGAAATAATTTAAAAATTAGATAATAAAGTAGAATAAAGTGCAAAGTAAAAATTAAATATATTTAATTATTTTATATTTTAAAAATTTTGTAAAGTGCCGGGAACATACGAAAATATATTGTTGGGTACGAGGAAGTAATATATTTTAAAAAGTAAAAAGAAATCCTTCGTTCACATTATTATTAATAATATATATTATTATTGATCAATTTTAAAAAGTTTGTATTAGTAAACGAAGCATAAATTACGGTAAATCTTATTTATGGAGCATACTATTATTACAAATAAAGATATTACACTAATCTCAAGTCATTGGTCGGGTCAACGCTTCCACGAGGCACGATCACCTGCTCCAGGACCAGGGAGAGCAAACAACACCAGCCAATAACGTACCGGGACAGGCAGGTCACGTGCCTCTCCCAGGTAAGGCGCACCGTACCTACGGTGCAGTCACCCGCAGCTTATCATACCTCTCCTTCAGTGCATTAAATTCAGTAAATATGACGTGGCAATTCCACACAATAACTCCAACAAACTCTCACTTCTCTCAGTCAATTAAACTTTCTATTTTCTCCCCCTCCCTTAATCATCTCCGCCATGCTCCGCCGCCGCCTGTCGCCGGCGCCGGCGCCGGCACCGTCGACACATCACCACGCCTCGCTGTATCAGCCGTTTTCGTCTCCTTCTCCATCTCCATCTCCATCCTCCTCGTCATCGTCGCCGTCGTCTGATTCGGCGGCGGCGACGGCGCCGCCGTCAAAATTAGGCGTGGATTTCAGTCCGCCGTTGATAGCTATGGTGGTTATAATAGCAACCGCCTTTGTGATAATCACTTACTCGCGCCTCCTCTCACGGCGATTCATCCACACCTACCGGCGATACAGGCGGTGGCGCCGGCGCCGGCGGCGATACGTTCCGTCATCGTCCGCCGGCGACATCGAGTCGCCGCCGTACTCGTTCGACCCTACGGAAGCCTTCCACGTCCTCTCCCCGTACGGACTCGACGAATCCATCATCAAAACCATACCTCTCTCCGCCTACACGCGGAAGAGCGGCTGCCATGACTGCGCCGTCTGCCTTCTCGAGTTCGAAGAGAACGACTACGTCCGTACGCTTCCGATCTGCGGCCACGCCTTCCACGTCGACTGTATCGACATCTGGCTCCGCTCGCACGCGAATTGCCCCCTCTGCCGCGCCGGAATATTCCGCCAGGACTCGCCGTTCACGCCATTAATGGCGGCGAGGATCAGACCTAGCCTCGACGATATGCTAATCGAGAGCACAATTCTAGAGCCTCTGACAGAAACTCCGATCGAATCGGAGACGACAACGGAGGGCGGCGAAATCACTCAGGAACCGTCGCCGCGGCGGAGCGCAATCCAATCGGAGGACAGATTCAACCGCCGCGATTTTTTACTGAAGCGATCCTATTCCTTCGGCTTCGAACGGAATTTAGGATCGGAGCGGTTAGTTCTCGAGCCAGTAACCGCCTCGCCGTGGCGCTACCGCCGCGGCGGCGCCGCCTCAGGCGGCGGCGGAAGCTTCTGGAGCAAACGCCCTTCCCCTTTCAGCTCACTGACAAAACCTAGGGTTTTCTCCTTCCGTTACTACCGAGGCATGAAATCCCCATTTTTCCGGCGGCGGAGCATCGGCGGATTCTTCCCGCTATCGGAATCGAGCGCGAGGTTGGGCGGCGGCGGCGGCGGCGGAAGCTCTTCCCGGCGGACGAAGTCGTTGGCGAGTCCGATGTTCATGAGGAGCTCGGCGGCGGTTTTCTCGTCGAGCCGTCTCCGGAGCGGAGATCCAGAGGCGCTGTTGTCGCCGGAGAGATTGAATAGACGGTGAGGATTAGGGACACGTGGACGGCGGGGATTTGAGGTGGGTCTATTGAGGAAATTAAATAGGGTGTCTGAAATTTCTGATGGAGGAGCATTAAATGGTTGAGGTGATTGAGGTTGGGTTAGAGCGAGAGAGGGAGGGGTTGGGGGATGAGCGAGAAAGTGCATTTAAAGAATTTTTGCAAAGAGGGGTTTGGGCTGTCTCACTTTATTTGTACCTACCTACAACACGACATTGGAATTGGATCAATCATATAAAGCTAAGGGAAAAATAAAAAAAGAAAGAAAGAAACCACAATGGTGAGTATTTATTTGTTTATTTAATGGTTATTTAAAATTGGGACCAATTCTTGATAAGTGCACATTGATGGTCATTTAATGTTCTTACCTGTTTGCTATTTGACCAGTTTCTTGTTTTTTGGATGAAGGTTTGAGGTGGGCTTTGTGGATCACGGCGGCGGCGGCGGCGGCGGTGGTGGTGGTGGAGGAATTGGACAAAAGGGGAAGTGGAGCACTAAGATGAAAGTGGGGATGTTTTTGAATGGGATTGGGTTTGGCTTTTTTTGAAGGTTTGGATAGTTACATGACATCTTTTGATGATGTAGTAATGAATGGTTTTTGTGGGTGTTGTTATCGGATGTTTTGGACAGTTAGTTGTTAGTTTTGGTCTCATGATGTGATAATGTTTACCTAATGATTTCACCAAATTTTGGTTTGCTTACACAATATTTTTGATATTATTTAAGTCGAATATAGTATGTTTTTTTTGTCCATTAGTAATTTGTTTTATTTTTTTTTTTTTCTTCGATTTAAGTATATTAGTATTTTATATAAAATATAGTAAAAATAATGTAATATAAAATAATTGTCTTTATTTTTATTTTATTTTTTTATGTAAAACTAGATAAAATAAATTGTTATGGGGTATCATAAGGTAAGTGTAACAAATAAATGAAAATGATTCATTATTTCCTTCGTCCGTCTCTAAGAGTCACGTTTACCTTTTGCATCATTGTATTTAATATTAAAAATATTATTTTATTTGTATAATTTTTTGTACAAATATTCTTCTATTAGTATTATACGACACTAATGAAAATATTTTTGCAATTTTTTCTTAATTTGTACTATGTTTTTTATATAATAATTAATATTCAAATATCAAAACACAAAAAGTAGATGAGACTCTTAGAGCCAGATGAAAGTATTAATATTTTATTAATTAGTATGTGTAAAAAAAAAATAAGACAAAAATAACATGAACAAAGACGTGCAAATTGAAATCATTACAATCCTTGGGTTTAGACCAAAAGAAAAAAGCATTATCTACTTGTGGCTGCATTTGTATTATTGGTAGGAATTTGATTTAATCAAAAAAAAAAAACATTAATTTTAATCTTAATATGAAAAATTCAGTAAAAAGATTTTAGAATCAAATGAAAATAACTATTTTTTTATATTTATTATTTTTTTCAAATTAAGTAGTATAAAAAAATAATATATTTTAAAATTTAGAATATTTAGAAATAAAAATTTTGAAACGCAATTGCGGTTTAAACACATACAAATTAAACACCCTTAAATAAAAACAAGTCAGGGGATTAGATGTAGAATTTCTGAAAAAAAATGAGAAAATTTTACCCAATTTTGAAAATACAAAGATTTTAAAGTAATTTCGTAAAATTACATATAAATTTTGTATCTTTTTTGGCTAGTTAGCAAATATTTCATCCGTAAGGGTTCTATTTATCTTTTGTATTATTTTACTAAATATTAAAAATATTTTTATATTTATATATATTTTTGTATAAATATTATTGTATTAATATTATAAGATACTAATATAATATTTTTTTAATTTTTTTTAATTTATATTATATTTTTATATAAAAATTAATATTTAAATATTAATAAAAAAAAATGAAACCCTGGAGCCGGAGTTACTAGTACAAAACAATGAATTTCAAAACATAGGTAACATGAAGAATTAAAAAAAAAAATATATATATATATATATATTAATGAGTATTCATGGTATTCAACAAAGTATGCCATTTCGGATAAGAACACCACGTCAAATTACGTTTTTATCCTCCAACTTTCCCAATTACTCTCTCTTTCGGTTTGATTCGGAAAGATTTGATTTAAGTTTTTGTATTAAGATACTAATCCCTCCGTCCAAAAACTAATTTCCTACTATATCTGACAACTATTGTCATATTTCATTTTTTAAATACAAATTTTACAGTTTTATTCTTCGTTCATTTATTACTTTTTAATATCTACCATACAATTAATGACAAATTTGTCAATTCATAAGAAATCGTAAAAATATACTTTAGAACAATATAAATTGGATTGAAGTAATAAAATTTGAAAATTTTGTTAAAAGAACGCTGCAAGAGGTATAACAAGAAATTTTATTGTAATATAAATATTAAATTGTAGTTTGAATTATGATATCATACATATTTAATTAAAAATAAATTTAAATTATATTATGAATGTTTTAAAAATTTATATTTTTTTAATAAAATATATTTAGGGTGTGTTTGTTTGGGAGATTGGATTTAATTTATACTGTTCATTCCATTTTTCCCCTAAAAAACATCAAATCAAAAATCTATTTTTTATTTTTTATATTATACTAAAAATCAAATTTACATTCAAAACATCACATCAACACCTATTTATATCACAGCATACAACTATTCAAATTTAAAATTTTTACTATTCAAATCCCAATTCAAAATCCAAACCCCTAAACAAACACACCCTTAATATGTATGCTATTTTGTAAATAATATAATTTTATATAATAAAAAAAATTAAATAAAAAGTATAATAGAATATGTTAAATGATAATTTTGTAATTGAAGGAAAAGAAAGCGTGTTTAATTGGTGTATATGTGTATATATATCTATAATACTTTTTTCATCTCATTTAATTTGTCTTATATTTTCGTCTATTTCATATAATTTATTTTTTTAAAAATATAATTATACATTTTAATCATATTTAAAATTTAAAATTTAAAATTTATAATTTTTTTATTTTAATTAAATTATTTACTCATCTTAATTTTAATATATAATTATTTTTAATAAATTATAAGAAATAGTATTTTTATTTAATATTTTGTGATATAATATCATTTCTATAAAAATATAATATGCTAAATAATACTCCCTCCGTCCCATGTATTATGGGCCTATTACTGTATATACGAGAATTTAGGTAAAGTGTGATTAGTAAGTAATTAAAAAGTGTATTAGTAAAAATAATTATGGTATAATAAAAATAATTATGAATTAAGATTAAGATAACTAAATAGTTTAATTAAGATTAAAAAATTATAAAATTTAAAATTTAAAATGAGATTAAAGTGTATAATTATATTTCTAAAAAAAAAGAATGGACAAATTATATGGACGGATGAAAATAGAAAATATGAACAAATTATGTGGGAGAGAGGGAGTAAAAACGCTTGTAACTTCCAACCTAGTTTGAAAAAGTCTAGGGTGTGTTTGAAGAGTGTTTTTGGATAATATTTTTACTACCTTAGGTAGGAAAAATAATTTTAATAAGATAAAAATAATATTTTACACTGAATTATTAATTTTTTGTGGGCAAATAAAAAATATACGTTTATTATATATATATATTGTATTGATATGTATATATTATGTTATTCATAATATTTATGAAGAATCATTGCATTCATAAAAAAAAAAAAAAAAAAAAAAAAAAAGAAAAAGTAAAAGAGAAGTGGTTGTGAACAAAAAGTTTATTTAATTGAAAATTGATATGAAAATGAAATATGAATTTAAATTTTTACTTAAATATTACTTTAATACGATATTTTATAGAAAAAATAAACTACTTTTATGTGCATAATGAATATAAAAAACAAACATACTCGTATTAGCTATTTGTATTTGTAGGCTATTAGATTTCATCGAGAATTTACTGAGAGTGCACTCTACGAATAGCAACTGCAGATTTATATATATATATATTTTAAAAAAAGACACTTAAAAAAATATTAAATTTCCACTATATATAAACACTTCAAAAAAATTAATAAATAATACCTTAATTATCGAATACTACTGTATTACAATTCATGTATTGAATGTTAAATATGTGAATGATAAAAAATTAAAAGTGAAATAGTATTTGACGTAGTGATATTTTAAATAAAAAATTAAATTTTTATATCCCTTCCGTCCCAGATACCATGTCCACGTTGCCGTTTTTGTCGGTCCACGTACCATGCCACTTTCATTTTATTGAAAAATGATTACACACTTTAATCTTATTTTAAATTTTAATTTTTTTTATTATTTTAATTAAACTAATTAATTATCTTAATCTTAATTTATGATTATTTATATTATAGGATAATTATTTTTACTAATACATTCTTAATTATGTGCTAATTACATCCCTCCTAAAAATACCGTGTCTACATTGTAGATGTCCGGGACGGAGAGAGTAATATGTTAAATAAATAATAAACAATTAATTTAATAATTAAAGAAAATAAGATGATAAATAAAGAAACAAAAACACAATTCATACTTGCCATATGCTATTTTTTATTTTTTGTATATACAATTTTTTCCTGAATAGTTTTAGTTACATTTATACTATTATTGAAATAATTGGAGAGGTTGAATTTTAATGGAACAAAATTAGGAAAAAATAAATGCACATGGAGAGGTGGATAGAGAGAAGACAGCAAATACATTAATGTAGTATTAATTAATTCCATACAACTACCACCATAAATGAATTTAAGGCTGTGTTTTTTTTTTTTTATGTGTTTTTTGGAAAAAATTAATTTAAATTTAATATAAAAATAATATTTGATGAGATTTTTTAGGAAAGAAAAAAAATATATATATTTTTAAAAAAACACATAATCTAAATAATAAAATTTAAGTAAATTAGGCTAAAGAAACATACCCTAAATTATAACAATATTTTTTAATTTAAATGATAAGTTTAATCTATATATATATATATATTTGAGAAAATGAGTTTTATCAAGGAAGTTGAAGATTGAATAGTATTTTTTCTGTCCGGCTCTAAATATCATATTTATCTTTTATATTATAGTATTTAACATTAAAATTATCTTCAAGTAGAATTACCATAAAAAAGGTAAATATGAAGTATTATTTTTTTTTCTAAAAAATGATTTTTTTCATAAGAATTTTAAAGATCCTCTCTTTATTACAAACGCAACCTTAATTACTATTCTCAAAATAATAATACTCCTACTAAAAAACATCACAGCTCCATATGAACATAACCGTTGTTTCTTTGTGTCATAATTTCTTCCCCACCTCACCTGTAAAAGACGACGTAACAATTTCCCAACTCTCTTTCCTCCCTCATAATGAATTTATCTTGCTGTCTTTCCTCGCCATTTATTGCCACCACCATCAACCTGTTCTAATTAATTCCCTCCCATCTCGATCTCTCCCTCTCCTTCTTCTTCTTCTTCTGCACTGCTAACTCATCACAAGCTGCGAGCTTTAATCAATGGGGGATTATATTGTCAAGGTTGAAGAAGGAAGGAATGCCGCCAATGGGAAGCCTTCTGCAGGCCCTGTCTTCAGATGCGTTTATGCTCAAAACGGACTTCTCCAACTCCCTTCCTCCCTCAATTCTCCCTGGGATTTCTTCAGGTGCAAATTTACCAACTCTGATTCACCATTTTTAAGTATGAAGTTGAATGAAATCATGGATGATTTTGCTTTTTTGGTAAATTTTGTGTACAGTGAGTCTGTGAAGAAGAACCCTCAGAACTGCATGCTTGGTAGCCGAGAAGTCAAGGACGGAAAGGTCTTTTCACACTTTTATGCGAAATTACTGTTGTACCCTTGTCGCGGAGCTCTGATATTTAGTTATGGCGGCAGGCCGGGGCGTATAGTTGGTTGACGTACCAGCAAAGCTACGATGCAGCGCTTCGGATTGGTTCTGCAATACGGCGTCGTGGCGTCAATCCAGTTTGTTATAGTTTTTTTGTTTAATTGTTTGTGCGATCTCTGTTTTGGATGTTAATTTTTGTTGATTTGTGATGATGTATAGGGCGATAAGTGTGGGATATATGGCGCCAATTGTCCGCAATGGATTATGGCGATGGAGGTTTGAATTGATTTTTGTGGCGTTTAGCTTGGGTTTGAACTTTGAATTGTGTTAATTAGGTTTCTTCTGGTTTGATTGAACTGCAGGCTTGTAACAGTCGAGCTATTACCTATGTACCGCTGTACGATACTCTCGGTGCGTATCTATGTCGATGTTTCTGAATTTTGGGGGAAAGAGACGAGTATTACCTTCGTTTTGTTCATTTGGCGAAGCATTTGTTGTTGATTGCAGGTGCGAATGCAGTTGAGTTCATAATCAATCATGCCGAGGTTTCCATAGCTTTTGTCCATGAAAGCAAGCTGCCAGCTGTATGTTCGGTCTCCTTTTCTACTATGCCTGTTCTACATTTTCGTTTCTGTAGAAATTTCATAGCTAATTGAGTGTTATTGATGCCTTTCGATCGTTTGGATTCTTGTATGTGGTTACACTTTTTGTGTTATAGTATCGTTGCCTGTTGATGGTCTACTATGCCTGTTCTACATTTTTGTTTCTGTAGGAATTGCACAGCCAATTGAGTGTTCTGATGCCTTCGATTGTTTGACTCTTGTGTATCGTTACAGTTTGTGTTAAAATATCATTAACTGTTGATGGTGTTCTACTATGCCTGTTCTACATTTTTGTCTCTGTAGGAATTGCACGGCCAATTGAGTGTTCTGATGGCTTCGATTGTTTCGATTCTTGTGTATAGTTCCAGTTTTTGTGTTTAAATATCATTAGCTGTTGATGGTGTTCTACTATGCCTGTTCTACATTTTTGTTTCTGTAGAAATTGCACAGCCTAATGAGTGTTCTGATGCCTTCGATCGTTTCGATTCTTGTGTAACATTACAGTTTGTGTTAAAATATCATTATCTGTTGATGCCTTCTTGTGTATCATTACAGTTTGTGTTAAAATATCATTATCTGTTGATGCCTGTTCTACGTTTCGTTTCTGTAGAAATTGCACAGCCAATTGAGTGTTACAATGCCTTCCATCGCTTTGAATCCTGTGTAGGATTGAAGTTTTGGTGTTAGAATATTGTTATCTGTTGATGATGTCTGGAAAATCTAACTCTCAATCGTCTTGCTAATTATTTTCGAGTACTATCTTGGATATGATCTCCATATTTGAATCATTTATAGTGTTCATAGAGTTGGATACGACGATGTATTTAAATTCTTGCAGCTAATTACACGAGTCGTAAGTAAAAAAAACATTTGTATTTATTGTGCTCAAAAGTTGTCTAATGTTTGCGTCGCGCTCCCGCAGATGCTATCATGCCTCTCAAAGTGCCTGTCCTATCTAAAAAGTAGGTGACATGCAAATTCTGATTTTCAGTTATTCTGTTAAGTGCTACTTTGTAAGTTTTACATGCATAATTATAGGGATATGAATAAATTTGCTAAACTTAGCCACACAATGTGGCAAGTCCATTGGCAATCCGTCAAGCAATTGCCGGCATGTCTTATAATGTATGCCAATAATCTATGCCCTCGTCTGTTCGTTCATATGCATTCATGGAGGTTCTTTCCTAGGCGCAAGCGTTTAAATAGTGTTCCATTTCCATAGACTTCTATAAATTGCAATTCATTGTTCTTCATTTTCGTTTCATTTCCTTTGCATTTTTTAATTCTTAGTGATTTTCTTCTATCGGTAAATCTATGTGTATGTTGGTAGCACAATGTTTCGAGAGGAGCAAAGTGTAAGATATAGTTTTAATCCAACACTTAATTGTTCCATGTCTCGAACACAAGTTAATCAGTGTTTGCTAGATTTCTTGAACTTCAACTATTGGTTTCGGAATTAATTGGTCTGAATCCAAATTATGTTATGATAAATGAGCTAAGATAGCTACTAAGCAGACGAGGAACTGATCTAGGATAATGCCTGTGACGGGATTGCCAAGGGACTTGCCACTGCTTGTGGCAAGTTCACAGATTTTATGGGATTAGTCCTTATAATTCACGATGTTACAATAAAAAATGTCGGTTTTGTGAGATCTTTAACTGAGGGGTACATTCTGTTCTTTCATAAGCTATTGTCAGTTTTGGAAAGATTAGCGACGAGCAAAAGAAGGCAGCCGAGGAGCTCGGTGTGCTGTGCTTCTCCTGGGAAGAATTTACTTCATTGGTTAGTAAGAGTCATCAATCAGTAGTGTTATGTAATCTTTTCTCTAACAGCTATTGTTTAGCCTTTAATGGCAGATTCATTTTGTAGTTTCACATTTGTTTACGATCTTTTTAGGGAGATTTGGATGACGAACTTCCGGCCAAAAAGAAGACAGACATCTGCACAATAATGTACACAAGTGGAACAACAGGGGAGCCGAAAGGGGTCATTCTGTCCAATGCTGCTTTCATGTCTGAAGTTCTATCTATGGATCAACTTCTTACAGAGACCGACAAAGCGGTAACAAATGAAAATGCCTCTTTTGTGCTCAAAGACTTCGTTTTTCGAATGATTTCATCGATTCAACTGATTAAGCCGATAAGTTCACTCTGAAGGGGACTGAAGAGGATGTATACTTTTCCTTCCTTCCACTAGCTCACATTTTCGACCAAATCATCGAGACCTACTGCATTCTCCGTGGTTCTTCGATTGGTTTTTGGCAGGGGGTAACGATCGACATCTCACACTTTTGAGTTATCTTAAAATGCAACTATTAATCTCTCTTAAGCTATTGCTACTTGAATTTTTGAGACATCAATCCTGTTGAACTTGCAGGATATTAGATATTTGATTGAGGATCTTCTTGTGTTAAAACCGACTATCTTTTGTGGTGTTCCGAGAGTTTTTGAACGTATATACACAGGTGTGGAACCATTTATATGTTACAATGTTTTCGATTCAAGATTCTGAAAGCATCACTTGATCTGAGTTCTTTTTCGACGTTGGTGTTTTACAGGCATCATGGATAAAATCGAAGCCGGAGGTGCACTGAAGAAATCGTTGTTCTACATTGCATACAATTAGTACATACATCCCTTCTGCAATTCAAACATTTTTCTCATTTACAATGTCCTTCGCTGTTCTTACGAAATCGAACATTTAACCGGCAGTAAATTAAGGAATTTGGAGAAAGGATCCAGGCAAGATGAAGCATCTCCTCTCATGGACAAGCTTGTTTTCGATAAGGTTAGCAGTTTCATAAGCTGTCCCATTTTGCGAATTGATAATATATATTGTGCGAACTATATCATTTATTTTCAGTTAAATCGCGCTGTCAGTCGTTATATTGTATGTTGTCAGCACTGTACTCAACAATGGTCTTCTCTGCTTCAGATCAAACTAGCTTTCGGAGGACGTGTTCGTCTGATGTTGTCCGGCGCTGCGCCGTTGCCTAAGCACATCGAGGAATTCTTGAGAGTAACTTGCTGCTGCATCTTATCTCAAGGATACGGTATCTGCTCGTCTATTATCAATTCCGTAACCATAAAACGGTACATCACTCTCTTTGTGTTTCCACATCAGGCCTCACAGAAAGTTGCGGAGGATGCTTCACTTCCATCGCCAACATCTTCCCTATGATAGGATCCGTCGGCGTCCCTATGACCACGATCGAAGCAAGGCTCGAGTCGATCCCCGAGATGGGATACGACGCGCTTTCTGACGTTCCAAGAGGTGAAATATGCATCAGAGGAAACACATTGTTCTCCGGATACTATAAACGCTCCGATCTCACCGATGAGGCTGTTGTCGACGGATGGTTCCATACAGGTAAACATCTAAGAACCTGAAGCTCTTAACATAACGCCGAGTTGCAATAAAAATCTTGCCTGTTGTAGGAGATGTCGGGGAATGGCAACCAAACGGCGCGATGAAAATCATCGACAGGAAGAAGAATATATTCAAGCTGTCACAAGGCGAGTACGTAGCTGTCGAAAGCATCGAAAGCGTATACTCGCGATGCCCTCTCATCACATCGGTTAGTCCTCGAATGACACCTCTTGCCAACACTAATGTGTACAATCTATCGTTATTTGACAACACGTCTCGTCTGCTTGTAGATTTGGGTCTACGGGAACAGCTTCGAGTCGGTGCTGGTGGCTGTGGCCATCCCGGAGAAGAAGGCGCTCGAAGATTGGGCGGCTGCTAATCACGTGAAAGGCGACTTCCGATCGCTATGCAGCTCGGACAAAGTTAGAAAATACATACTCGACGAACTAAACGCGACTGCCAAACGACACAACGTACGCATTCCCTATATATATTCGTCGCGCTCGTATCTTTTCGATTCTTGCTTGATACTCGTCCTCTCGCTTCTTGTCGCAGCTTCGAGGCTTCGAAATGCTCCGAGCAGTTCATCTCGACCCGGTGCCCTTCGACATGGATCGCGACCTAGTTACGCCTACGTTCAAGCTTAAGAGGCCACAGCTGCTCAAATACTACAAGGTACAACGACGTCGAACTCCACGTCTACTTTGATTACCATTTCAATACGTTTAATTTAGTTCATTATCCGCGCCGCGACGCATATGCAGGATCGGGTCGATAAACTGTACCGAGAAATCAAAGAAGCGAAAGCACCGTAATAGCCTCAACCCGACGACACCCTGAGAAATTTACCATCCCGACTGTCGAAAAAGTTTTCTACTCAAATTCCTGAACTCCTGTCCCTGCTTTCTTGTGTATAGAAATACTTTTTCCGTCAGTCAAATTTATTCTTAATTACTTCGACTGCGACTATGTTCATTTCAAGAACGGGCAATCAATTGATCGATCGATTGATCAAAGTACACAAAACAAATTCGCAAACAAACACACGAAATTCACCCCAAGTTCGATCCGAGTTCACAAGCCGGTATCTTTACACAACCAAGCTTTACACGTTGCGACAAAAGCAATAAACAAACGATGGATGAATCGCGAACATACGCCTAAATGAACGAGATCACGAGAGCCCAAACCGGGTACAAGAAGAGCAGAAGTATCCCGATCGAGTTCGAAATCCCGCTGCTTTTCGTGAAGGAATTTCGGAACCCACCAGATGCCCGAATGTGCTCCTGCAGCAAGTAACACCCGATAACGAGGCACACGAAGACCCCCACGACGCTGCCCCTTAGGGTGTCGGCAAAGAACCCCGGCGCCACCACAATCAGTAGGATCAACGCCCCGGGCAATTCCAACCAATCTGTCGAACACAATTATCGAATGCAGGCGCGCTATTAAAACAAAAAACATTTTCGACACTATCATACACGCCCGTGGATATAAATACGTTTACGTAATAATACCTGGGAAACGTCGGGGGAAGAAAAGGCGAAGCACGACGGCAATGAGAGCGATCCATTTTCCTACTTCTCCCCTTCATTGCGAAAGAAATGTTATCGAGCTTATTACGAAAGCATAGGCGGCGTTGAGCTGTAAGAAGTATGACATTTTGGCGATTCGGAGAAGGGCGATTTATTACCTGAGCAAACCGAAGAGCCACGAGGGAAGACTGAAGAAGATGTAAGGGATCAAGAGGGATGTAAGTATGTTGGTTTTCCAGTTGGTCCGATCCAAGATCAACAAGTAACTGCACAATGCCGATGAGTTTTCGATCAAACAAGAACGAATATGATAGCAATGTGTAAGAAAAGCTAAGCAATAAATTCATTCGAAATATTTCACTAAAAAAACATGCATTTGGTAAAATATATTCAAATTCAAAACAACCAAACCACTCTTAAACACAAACAAACATGCCCCTAATCACTTTTTATACCTACAATAAATAGTATTTTTTATAAAAAGTTTAAAAATTAAAATAAAATGATTTATTTTCCCAAAATACCCTTATAGCTTTTACTTTTATATTAAAAATAATTTTTTCTTGATGCAAAATATCTTATCCAACACTTATTTAATCAAAATTAAAAAAAACTCAAAAGAAAACACGCGCTAGTTTAATCCTAATCCAAAATTACAAAATTCTCAAATCAAACAACTATATATATATTACTTCATCCGTCCTTCTTTAAAGATCACGTTTACTCCGCCGTTCGTCTCTAAAAGTCACATTTACCTTCTTTTTTTTTTGTCATTGCATTTTTTTTTTTACCAATATACTTCTATTAGTATTATAAAGCTGATTCAAATATTTTTGTAATTTTTTCTTATTTAGTACTAATTAATATTCAAAAATCAAATATAAAAAAAAAAGAAATAAGTAAATAAATAAAACTTTAGAGCAGACGGATATAGTATATTATTATTTTTTATTATAAAAAATTAATTTTGCATTCAAACGATTATTTTGATTCAAATTTTTACTATTCAAAATTCATATCCAAAATCCAAATCCAAACAATAGCACACAAACGCCAATCGATTCAAAAATTGTTGATACAACAACGTAACGTAAGAAATCTCTCTAAGAAACAATCCATCCAATTAGAACACACACACACATAATTGAGTGTAGTGAGCAGAAAATAAATAAATAAAACTGAATTAAGATCAGATTAGGGTTAGTTCTTACATTGCAGCAACAGCAGCAACCCATTTGAGGAAGGAAGTTCCGAATCCGAGTCCCCCCAATTTGATAGCGTGATCCGCAAGCTTTTTCACGGCGTTCCCGATGTCCTTCATGTCCGAGCTCAGCAAATCGCCGACCGCCGAATCATCAGTCTTCATCGCCAAGAAGTTCGTCTTCCCGCCGATCATTTTCTCCGTCGCCGGAATATTTAGGGATTTAGGGTTTGAGTGAAATTGGAAAGATTAGAAATTAGAATAAAATCGCTAAAACGATTGATTGCTAAAACAGGTGGGAACGATGGATGTATGTACTGCCGACGAAGTCAGTGAGGCGCCACGTGGGCGTGTATTATTGGTGGTTATTTTTGGAGGTCATGGAGTGTGGGCTCTGATGGATCTTGACCTTTGATTTTATAATCGGACGGTCTGGATTTATCTGGAGTCTGGAGCCTGGAGCTTCTGGAATTGGTTGGAAAGTTACGTGTAATTATTGATTTAATTAATTTATTGCAACAACTATATCCAGTTGTCCAATTAATTTGTCGTGGCAAGAACTGATTATTTTTAATATTATTATAATCGATCGGGAAGTTTCTGTCGGAGGGACAGTTCATCGTTTTGGATATTTTTTGGAATATTTTTTAAAGGATATTAGATCCGAAGTTTTTCATTATTTTTTTAAATTATTTTTTTATAAAATATAATATTTAAATAAATTTAATTAACATCTCATTGTAAATTAATTTAAAATTACAATAAAACAAATTATGCAATATGTGTTAATATTATTTCTTTGTGAATGCACTTTCTCCCCGGCCAAATTCAAATATCAATTTTATTATTTTTGTTTGTCTCAGTATTTATTTTTTTATTTGAATAAGAAGATAGGGGTGGATACGGTTCGGTTATTTACAAATATATAGGTATTTGATAATCGAATCGAACCGAACAAATACTTAAAACCGCGAACCGTTAACCGAAAATAATTGTAGTATTTGCAAATAATTCGAACTGAACTGAAATTAAGAAAAAATATATAAAAAAATAATTAAAATTCTAACTAAATAAAAAATATTTGCAAATATTTCAAAAATCGGAACCAAACCGAATATAATTATTAATACTATAAATTTTAAAATATAATAATTTAAATATATAAATATATTCAATTCAGTTAACCAAACCAAAAAAAATATGAAAAATCGACCAAACAAATATCAAATATGCAGTATTTGTATTCGAACCAAATTTGTTCGGTTAATTGAAAATTCGGTTCGATTCAGTTCGGTTCAGCGGTTCGACGATTCCGTTTCATTTTTTTACCCACCTTTTTTTTGTCTTGATCATTTTGGGCCACCTTCTTTCTTCTTGGGCCATTACAGATCTGCCTATTCCATTTTATAAATTTTTGGGTCCTTCAACATAACGTTTTCTTCAACATAGATCTCGAGATTATATAATAATAATAATAATAATAATAATAATAATAATAATAAATAAGTTAATTCTTCCTCCCATTTGACTTAATAAAAAGCTAAGTTCAACATGGCCGGCAACCGCCGCTGCTCATGGCGGCGATTGGCCGCCGGCGGCCTGATCTGCTTCCTGATCCTCCAGCTCCACTCCTTCCTCCGCCATGTCGGCGTCGAGTTCGAGAAAATGAAGCAAATTCTAGCTCTCCATCCCCTCCCTCTCCGCCACCTCGAGCACGTCGAAGAGTTGATTCTCCTCCCGCCCAACGACCTCCGAGTCGACCCTCGCGAAATCGACCTCGTCCGCGAATTCCTCGACGCATCCTCCCGTGCTCGGACCATTTTCTTCCCGGAAGGCGCCGTCGATCCGAGAACAGATGATCGGAGATACTTCCATCCCGGGAAAGTGTGGCTCGACACCGACGGGAACCCTATCCATGCACACGGCGGAGGCGTTATGTTCGACGAGAAATCGGGGCTCTACTTTTGGTACTATTCATCTAATTGAATGAGTATTTTTATTTTGATTACTATATATTCGATTATCACTTTTGTTCTATAATTTTTTTTTATAATATTATTGTGAAATAGTATTTTAATATACTATTTTATAAGAGAAAATAATATGTTTACCAAAATTATCAGAGTTAAACAATAAATCAAGTGAAAAAATTGTAAATAGAATAACATTTTGATTTCAATATAGGTACGGAGAGTATAAAAATGGCTCGACTTATCGTGCCGGCAAAACCGGGGTGACCCGGGTGGACATCACCGGCGTGGGTTGCTACTCGTCGACAAATTTACGGGAATGGAAATACGAAGGAATTGCGTTGGCATCGGAGGCGAACGACTCGTTCCACGATTTGTACAAGACGAAGGTCTTGGAAAGGCCTAAAGTTGTGTACAATGAAAGAAGCCAAAAATACGTGATGTGGATGCATGTCGACGACGAGTCCTATAGCAAGGCTTCAGTCGGGGTCGCGACTAGCGATTTTCCTATGGGACCGTTCAATTATCTCCATAGCTTTCGGCCTAATGGGTTCGAAAGTCGGGACATGACGGTTTTCAAGGATGGAAACGGTGTTGCGTATTTGATTTATTCGTCGAATCGGAATAAGGAGATGCATATAAGCCCGATGAGCCGGGATTATCTTCACGTCGCGAATCGAACGATCAAGGCCCTTGTTGGACAATACAGGTAGAATTTGATATTAACAGATAGTTTCGAAATTTTTAGCGCTATTCGCTAATAGTAACTTTTTCAAAGAAGATACTACATCCGTTCCATAACATCAGTATCATTTATTTTATACACTTAGATTTTTAAATATTAGTATTATATTGGTTTACAGCGAAAAGAATAAAAATACCATTATTAGATTATGTAATATAAAAATAATGACATTTGTGTAATATTTTGAAAGTCGTAAGGGTATTAATTATATTAAGTAGGTAGTATAATTACTAAATTAAAAAATGATATCCCTGTTTTTGAACGGACAAAAATGAAAAAATGGTATCATTGTTACGGGACGGAGCGAGTATCACTATAAAATATCATTTCCATCTCATAAAATATGAGTCCTCCCGTCTCAAAACAATAGTCTTATTTTGTCATTTTCGTCTGTCCCAAAATAATAATCTCATTTTTATTTTTGTAACTACTTCCCATTTTTACAAAATTATCTTCATTTTTTCACAATAATTACATAAAATATGAGTATTTTAATCTTTTAAAAATACTTTTACATTCACTGTTAATATAATACTATTATTCATGTACATCCTAAATGTCTATTGTTTTGGGACGGAAAAAAGTTATTAAACACTCAATTTTTTTATTATTTAATTTTTTTTCTAGAACCTAATAACTTCTATCTAAACAAACCTCATTCTAAAATTGATCTGATTTTGTACTACATTTGAAGTTGTTATAGTGTTACTAAATCTCTTAAACTATATATTCAAGTTCGAGGCATTGCAAATTTACATTTACTTCAAATAATCTTCAATTTTACTCGACATTTTTTAATTGTAAAAAAAAATTTCTAAATGTTTTTTATACGAGATATATTATTATTATTATTATTTTCTTTTACAAAATATTCATGTTTTTAAATTAAAACGAAGGGAAGCTCCGGCCGTGTTCAAGCACGAGGACGTGTACTATATGGTGACATCAGGATGTAGCGGGTGGGCGCCGAATGAGGCCATGGTGCACGAAGCCGAGTCGATTCTTGGGCCTTGGGAGAGCATCGGAAATCCTTGTGTCGGGGCAAATAAAGCTTTTCGAGTGGCGACGTTCTTCTCACAAGGCACTTGTGTGATCCCGATGCCCGGTGGGGCTCCGGGATCGTTTATTTTCTTGGCGGATCGATGGAAACCCGACGATCTCGGGGACTCGAGGTATGTGTGGTTGCCCATGGTTGTTAGGGGTAGAAATGAGAGGTATGTTGGATTGCCATTGTGGTCTAAAGTTTCCATTTTTTGGCACAAAAAATGGATGATTCCATTAGGGAAAAGTGATGGAGAAGAAGAAGGTTAATGAAGCCAAAGGTTGCTAATTTGGAGTTGATAATATCACTATCAAATGCAGAGATAGGGCTAAGGCCTACCAAAAAAATATAATTATATAATGTACTATTTATATATATATATACTATATATATTATATTAATATTTGTTAATTTTTTAATAAATATTTGCTAATCGAATCAAAATCAGTACGATCAATTAATCGAAATAATTATATTAATATGAATAGTATATCATTTATTATTATATTATATGACTGTCGTTGTGTAGAATGAAGATATAAATTCGAAATTGTTATTTCTATAAACTTTCAAAATTCATACTTATTATTTAAAATTTGTCTTAAATTTTATTTAAATGCTGAAGATCAAGTGCTGAAAAGTTTCTTTCAGCACCTTGCTGAGTCCTTGTAAATCAAAAATATATATTTATATTAATTTTATTATCTAATAATTATATTAATTAAAAATAATTAATTTTTTTGCTATTCAACGACAAAAATTATAGTCTATTTAATATCTATTCGACTATTATTTTATCTTTACTTCTATCACTACTTGTCCATTTTCATTTATAATGGGTGTACTTGTGGAATTTTATCATTGATTTCACAATTTTAATTTTATTTTTTTTTTAAAAATATCAAATCAAAAATTTATTTTTTTATTTATTTTATTACACTAAAATTAAATTTTACATTCAAAACATCACACGAATACATATTTATATCACATCGAACAATTGTTTCTATTCAAAATTTTACTATTCAAAATCAAAACCAAAAACCATAAAAGTAAACAAACCAATATTAGTAATCTTCGCTTTTACTTTAATAGTTTTATTTAACTAAATATCATCCCATCCCACGCTTTGAAACCAAAAGTATTTCCACTTATTGAAGTAGTATCAAAATCACATTAAATTCCACCCACACACACACAAATCTTGATGTTTGATTCAATAATTTTAAAATATAATAATAATAATAATAATAATCCAAAAGAGTAAAACCAAATCTAAAAGAAACAGAGACTGGAGATGCTTGTTGATATCCATTGATAAGAGATTCAATCAAGGAAGGTTATAGAGAGTAGAGTAGAAGCAATACAAACAAACAAACTCCAAGAATATGAAAACAAACAGCCACCAAGACATCGACAGCGACAACTGTACATGAGCTATCATACATTCTTCACACCAAGAATAGAATACGGCTAACCTGCGACGCCCCAAGAAAGAATCCGGCCTTCAATTCATAGCCCCGAAAGTCGCAAGGGTACAAAACTGGGTGTTCTATACAGAGTCAGGTCACTACACACCATCGTTTACTTCCTGTGGATATCATTGGACAGATCCATCTTGTGGATATCCATCACCACATCTCGTAGTTCCGGGAAAATTGACACCAGTACGAGTTCTAGAATTCCATAGCCGAGTTGCTTCAAGCAAACTGTGGACTGAAAATTGAGTAGCCAGAATTAGAGCAAGAGTTGGGGAGAGAAAAGGACTTTCGGGTGGGTGGAGTTGGAGTTTTACCTGAAGAAAATAGTATAAATCTCTGGCACACCTTCTGTACTGCTTTTGCCCGATTAGACTAACCAATGTGTTGGGAGCACTATCTGCGGGGAAGGGAAGAATGCAAGGATTAGTCGAATTAAAACAATTATACGTCGATGGCTAAAACATGACTCGTTAACTTGTATGTATAGTTATATATATATATATATATTGAAAGGAAAAAGTTCCAAATAAAAAATATTAGTACTATTCAGCACGCATGTTGTCCAATAAAAATATGGCATTTCCTCTTACAAAATATCACATCAAAATACTATTTAAATAACAACCAAACAAACCCTTCAACTCAAGAGGTTTTGGACTAAGAAGTTGATCACCTAAAAGTGAACCAAGGGGCAATGAACTCCCGAAAAAGAATCATACAAAAATGTCTCAAATAAACAGTATAGTATTTGATGTAGATCTTGTGAACAATCTAAACAAGTTAATAAAGTACTCACTGAAGATAATCTTTTTCACATCACTAGCTCTGCGAGCAGCTTCGAGTTGTTGCTCGAAAGATCCTGGTTGGGCTGTTCTTATTCCACCTGATTGCTTTGTAGTCTGATGAGATCCCCCGGCAGTTTTGGAATCATTTTCTTGTTCTTGAGCTCGCAATCTTAAGAAGAATGTGCCTTCGGGCCAGAGCACCTAATGAGGTAATGAATGATAAGATATATGCATAAAATGCCTCTTGGAGAGAATGAAAAAAATGAGGGGATGGAAAAGTTAATGAGCAGATTCGAAAGTTATGGACACTAATAAAAGACTGGAGGCAGGGTTGAGTATAAGTTTCGATAACTGATTTGAGCTAAATACACGAATGCTTTATGTAAGTGCTTCAAATACTGAATTGCAATTATGCAAGTTATAGAAACCGAAAGTATTTTATCAACGGAACCTTTTAACTTACATCCTTGACCCATAGAATCCCTTGTGCAATAACATCCTCCCTACGAAGCCATTGTAACTGCCTCAAGAGCCAGTCGTCAATTGCATCTTCCATGACTAGCTGCAATATCTGCTTAGATATCCAAAAAACCTGCCTCCTGCAATTAAAGAAGAAATTTGCCCCACCTAATTCAGTATTGCAACAAAAATGGTGATGATAAATTAAGACCACTTCAGCATATTACACATATTGGAATAAATTTGATAGTTGAACACAAATCAAAAGCTTGGTGGTATAGAACCATTCTACAAGATATTATGAACAAGACTACAGAGATAAAGAAATGGTGAATACGCAATCAGCTATTGTAAGAAAATGCTCAAATAGAGATGTATATATGTGCACATGTACAGAAATAAATAACACTGTCACCTTATCCAGCCTCTTCTCTTGAGCTGAAATAAATTGTCAACTAGATTCAAGACCGGAACACTTAAATTGGGCGGTGTCCACTGCAAGGAACATCAAAAGTCAAATAGAGAAGCTATTCAATGCATAACTAATATTCTGATTAATTAGATTTAAAAAGGGGTATCATAACCGGAAAGAAGCTAGCAGCCGCCTAAAATTGTTAGGATATCTGAGTGTCTAAATCCAATATAAATAGATATAGCAGCAAAGAGATGTTCAAGTAAAAAACACGTGAACATGCTGATAGAAAGTTGAATTTACACGTCAGAAAAACCAACACTTCTTAAATAAACGGTTAGTAGCAAGCAAGGCATAAAAAAATTAGCACATTCAGATACAGTCAAGTGCAAGGCGCGAAAACATGACAATGTAACAATTTTCCAAGGAAATGTACATCTTGCCTGACAGATTATTCAAATTGGTGGAAAAATAAAACAAAGAAAATGTGTTTGAAACTGCAACAAAGTTAACATGTAGGATGTAATATCACATGCATCAAACAAGATTAAGGTGCCAAAAGAAAATCCCTAAAAAATCCTTTCTTAATCTTACTCGAATTACTCTATCGATATTAACGAATCATGCCCTAATCTTAATTCTACTTAGTCTATTTATATTAATACTTACTTAGATAGTCAACACAACAGATTCATAATTGCAATAGAAGGCAGCAATAATACATGAGGCTTAGATACATAATAAGGCCATAATCCACAGTACCTCAGGAGGCACCATTGTTGGATCTTGTTGAGGAACAGACATTAAGGCCAGATTTGACTCCAGAGATCTGCTGGCAGAAGTTGATTCTCCTCTAAATCCCAAAGTATGGGTTTCATCAGAATTATTGATATCTTCGTCAGTTTTAAGAGCTGGTGGCATTAATCCAGCTATGTTGGATTCATCGTCTGAATCTTGGTTTTCAGCTTCTAGTTCCTGTTCTCCATGACTGACATCTTTATCACCTTCATCATTGTCAGAGAAGCTATTCATTGACTCAGAGGTATTCAGCCTCACAGAAATTTTATTTGCATCATCTGCATTCCAGGATAAGTTTCTGCTAACAACTGGCGTAGATTGCTCAGGGGAAACAACAGGTGTACCGACAACTTTCCACATTAGGCCATCAGAAACCCCTTTGAATTGGCGAACAATATCATCAACAGCATCATCCACATTAACTGTTCCCAGTCAAAGAAGAGTTCAAAATGATAACCATAACGCTGAAATAAGATTAAGCTTACTGCTCATCCCACAAACAAAATAGATGCACTAGAAAAATATATTTTGAACTCTGAAATTGTCTCCGACCAAATATTCTCTGTTAAACTTAGATATATGCTGATACAACAGTCATAGAAGTTTAGATCTATTATGTCTTGTAAACACATCTAAATTAACAAAATAAAAACCATTAGCAAAGAAAATATATATATATATATTTAAAAGTAAGCAGGAGAGCACAATCCACTAATTACAAGGTGGTTTCTAGTTGTAAAATTCCAGGTTGTGGCTAACAGAAAAAACAACTTAATGATTTATTTTATCTCAAGCACCATCACAATATGCCACACTTAAGCCTTCAGCGACCTGACTTTTTCTGAATAGGGAAAACAAACAGGCTCAGTTTACTTATATTTTCAACTTTATTTTTGCTCTATTCATAAAAAATTCTCTCTTATAGAAACATCAAAGTCTAATGCCTATTTATGTCTAACTTTATTTAATTCTTTTACTATTTTCAAAACAATCCAAAACACACAAGTTGTCATTGCTTGTAGGACTTTTACCCAGTTTTTACTATTTATGAAATTTTTTCTCCGCAAAAACATCAAATCACACATACTTCTTTTATGTTACACTAAAACTTAATTTTACATTCAAAACATCATATAAATATCTATTTATATCACATTATACAACTAAATCAATTTAAAAATTTACTATTCAAAACCCAAAAGGCAAAACCCACTCATAAACATACCCCAAAAGACTTCCAAAGCATATCTAAACACACATATATCAGGAACTTTATTTCATACATTAACTACTATAATTTAAAATTCCCAGATAAACTAGCAAAGATGTTTATCCATGTTGCATTTGAGCAGTCAAACATTTGTCATATCACAACAAATAAAGCGAAATTTGACAATGTTTTGATATCTGCATAATCTCGGTAATTTATAGGATTAAAACAAGAATTTCAAGCCTATCAAATATATGGAGAGTCAATTATGTACAAGGAGAGGAAGAAACCTGCTAGAGTCCTCATAACAGAAGGAGACTTCCCGGAAGAGTAATTCTGTATTGTTGAAATCATACGTATTAACTAGTGTACATATCAGTACCAAGAATGCTACTAAAAGAAACAAATGAAAATAAAATGCACACCTGAGAAGAGGAACTCAGAAAATCCCACACTTCATGTTGTTCAGCAACGTTAGCAATTGACAAGAGATCCTGGAATAGACAAGAATGTCAAAGGAATGAAACTTGTACCAAGAGAGAGAATGGGTTGGTAACGTATCGTACTCTAAGATATTTGTCAAGCTGAATACAGCGCTGGTGGACAAATGAATCCTCTGTACTAGAAGAGAATATCCTTTTGGGAGGCAAATGTAATGTATAATTGGGAATATCCTTTAGATGTCTGTGCAATCTTTCAAAGTTCCGATACCTGGAGATGAGGAGTTCCAAAATATAATAAATTATGTATAAATGACTGAGCCATCCTGATCTAATCAAGACACTTTTACTTTTTGATGAACTTAATGTTGTTAAGATGTAGAATGCTATATCACTGTATCTTCAACATAGTAATACTTGTCATTCCAACTGAACATAAACATGTACCTCCGTTTTACAAACCAAGTGTTATTGTCAGGATCTGTTACAGCAATTGAGTAAACTGCAAATGATTTTGAGCCATGTTTTTCGAAGTATGCTCCGGTAACCTGCAAAACCAATGATATCTCATCAACCAAACTCAACCCAAAAAGTATGACCTAGACGGATGCCCCAAGATTGATTGTGCAGGGATTTTTAAATTTCATAAATTACTCTTTCAAGGAATATCAATGGCATTACATGAAAGTAACTTTACATGTTTGAATCACATGTTACCCCTACTTCAGTATGCAACTTTATTTAATAAAAGGAGAATCTAAGATACATGCAAAAGTGTAAATCCAGTTCAATTACAAAGAACAGAAAGGAAGTAGTTGCCTTACTCGACATCTGAGCTTTGGAATATACCCTTCACGGCGCAACACCACGTCCAAGTTACTACTAGTGTTTTGTACATTAAGCTTTTTAGTATCTGCACTATAGTATTCATTAATGATGGGTGTACTTTCTCTTGAACTAAACATGTCTCCAGGGTTTGATTGATCTTTCAAGTCAGAAGTGCTATTTGATCTTTTCAGGGTTCTGTTTTCATGTGAAGAAGTAGAAGCAGTGTTCTCAAGTTCATGAATAGTAGAGCTTTCCTTTGAAAGCTCCTCCTTGTTAAGCTCTAGGGACCCGCTTAGAGGATCAAAACTGAGATCAGCAGATTGAGTTTTCTGTTGTCTGGGTGGCGGTGGTAGTTGCGTACAAGCTTTGTCTTGTAATCCAATTGAAGCTTCAGGCTTCAGCTTGGGTACTTCAGCCACCAAAGTTTTTCTAGGCAATATGCTGCTGCCTGAACCTATAGCATCAGAAGCCAGATTTCCTGGACCAGCCTTCTTTTGCATTTTCTTTTTGTAATTTCTTCCTATTGCCCACATGTTCTCAAGATTTTCAGGCATAAGGACTTCCGTTCTTCTCTGGGTTACTGCCTCAAATGCTTTTGCCCACTCAGCATGCCGTGCATGGAGGGGTACATCCACTGTACAAGATACGGGATCTTGGGAGCCAACCTGCTCTAGTTGGTTCTCGTGACTGAGCACCATAGACAGATTAGTTCTTTCATTGCTTGAAAGCATATTCTTTTTCATGTTAGATTCATTGCTTTGACCATGATCTCCAGAAACTGTGCATTCCCGATTCTGACCCCTGACATTAGATGATTGATCACAGGCAGCATCCTTGACTTCCTCATTGTTATGGGAAAGGACGATATATTCAATCAACTCATTAATATACCTAGAACATAAAAAGGAAACGAGATAGTCATGTTCCTAATCTATTGTTATTTATTATTAGAAGAAACAAGTCCCAATAAAATTGTACTACTACCACTAGTAGTAAGACAAATAACTAAAAAGAAAATTCTTTACTGCCAAATATCAAACTGATGGTTATTCGCCTATTGCAAAAATATATGCTAGCACTAAACCTTATAGTGTAAAGACTTTAATGAATATGGCAACAATGATTAAAAATCACACGGCCTTCTCATTCAGCAAATCTCATCAGATGTGCGGACAATAACCATCCTTCTAGCACCATAAACCAGTTACGGAGAAACATGAATCAAACTAGCTTTTTTCTTGGAATAGCAAAGAGCCAGTGAGAATAAGATCTTACCCAGGGCTTGCAAAATTCATAATAGGTTGCATTACTAGACAAGTCAAAAGTTCACGAGCAATGGATCGCACTAAAGGGCATTGTACTTCCTTTGGTCTCATCACTACAGCTAAAAGTCCACTCATGAGCCGCTGAAGAACCTGTACAAATGTATTAAGTAAAAGAAGTTTCAATATATATATATATAACAGCAAAAGAGAAAATGAATATGAAAATTCAAACAGGTCATAAATACTACAAGATCAGCATGCTTCAACACCTTGTACTCACACTCGGGAGATATCAAAGCAGGGTGAAGCTCCTTAGTGGTCAAAAGATGGTGTTTCAACCTTTCATCCCTTTGCTCAGAAGACAATGTTCCCATTACATCCACACCTATTGCAGCCTGGTTTCTTCTGAAGAGATCAAGGTGATCACCTATCAAGTCTACAACATCCCTGTAGGAATGGAGAAACAATATGCATGTATCAAATTCACATCAGCTTAAAGTTTCTTCTATTAAAAGTTTCACACTTCCACTCTTGAAGTACAATCATGCACCAGTGTTATACCTTGTCAGCAAATCGACAAGGTTTAGTGCTTTCATTCTTCCAGATACTTCACCAAGAATATCCATAATTATATCATGTATTAGGTCTGGTGCTTCTTTGTCAGGAGTAATATCAGAATACCACAAATCTACAACAAAATCATGCAAAAGCTTGTTGATAAAATCCTCAATTGCTGCTTCCACAATAGGGGAATCTATCTTTCTTTTCCATTTTTGTGGGGGACGAATAGTTGTAAGACGGGAATCATTCACAGACAGCTGCTTCTTTTCTAAGTGTGACAGGTAAGACACAGGTCTGTCATTTTTCACCTTCCATCGAAACTCCACCTCATTCAAGAGCAATCTTAGTCCAGCAACCAAGAAAATGGCTACTGGTATATTCATCAGCATTGCTTTACTAGTATCTGTGATCCGTAACATGTATACATAAAAACCAAAAGAAAATCAGCAATGAAGAAGGAAAAGGCTTTAGAGAGACAAAATACAGTAAAAGGTCTTGCCTAGCACAACTTGCAGTTCCTTAAGAAAACTCTAAAACTATTCGAAATTTCAGATTCATTCTTCTCATAACATCTATTCTAAAGGGATGACAGAAACAATAAATGGCCCCTTTTTGTGTAAGCTTCCCAGTGAACACATAATTTCCAGATATGCTAACCGCTTTATCACCTTCAAACAAGAATATAACTAGAGAATCACAATCCATTTCACCAATGACAATCTATTAGCCAACAAAAAAAAAAGTTCAAGTGTTCTGCACTTATCCACATTCCCACCGTGTTATTCCCCCCTAACTTGTTCCTATCCACCAACTACAGAAACTCCCGTTTACTTACTCAGTCTATGTCATAACACGCAGCATAAGTGTAAATTCAATTCCCAATCAAAACAAACCACACCATTACAATGCCAATTCACATAAAATTCTTGAGCGAATGGAATGTAGCCAATGCGAGAAATTCTAAGTATTAAAACAACAAAGTAGGATCAGCTTAAAAACATTTCAAGTGAATAATTTAGAATCAAACAGAACATTTGGTTTCTTGATTTCAAGAAACACAAACATTAAAAAGTACAGAAAACAAAGACAATAATAATAACAACACAGCTGAGAGCTTACGCGTCAAGAAGTAAGATACTACGAATATACAGAGAATCCACCACACCGCACGAAGTTTAGCTTCTTCAATTAGATCTTGCAAACTCTCCATCGCTGTCTTCATAATGATCAAATCCTAAAACTCTACAATCGTCAGACCAACCTCTATTTCACGTGCAAGAATTAACTATCGAATGGATTTTAACCAAAAAAAAAAAACCTAAAAATTCAGCAGCAAAAACAAAAAAGAATTCCCCTCCCGACTGCTTAGAATTCCAAATTCTGTAGAAATTAAAGTTCGTGGAAACTTGTCTTGGACGGAAAAGGCGAGTGAGTAAAATCAATTCTTTGATCGTCTCCGAGACGGGATTCTCCCTTCTCTAATGCGTCTTTCGTCTTTCCTATTGAGAATCGTCTCCGTCTTCGTCTGTGATGACGGGGAGATAGAGAGAGAGAGAGAGAGAAAACGTGGGAGGGGCAAAGTTTGCAAAACGACGTCGTTTGTCGCATGTTACCACTCAGCAATAGCGATTCTCGTTTAGAATAGCGATATCTAGTTGTGGTGTCGGAATTTAAAATGACACTTTTGCCCTTCCACGTGCCTTCCAACTTTCATATAATCATATTGCCGAATGCAATGCCGGATCTACATTGCTCCACCGTTCATTACTATTTTTTATTTTCTTCTGTACTAAAATAAAATTATCATTTTTTAACATAATAAATATTTTTTAATTTATAATATATTTGTATTTTTTACTATAATCCAATAAAACGAGGGAGTATTATTATTATTATTATTTTCTTTTGTATTTTTAATTTTGTTTTGTGTATTTTTATATATATTTTTAGATAATAAAGTTATTTTGATGAAATATTACGTCTAAATATAAAATTTAAATGTTATATTTTTTTATAAAAAAATAAAATACTTTTTTATATAAACGTTTTGCAAGTTTTAATAATGGTAAATAAGGGATGAAATAAATATATTTTTTTTAAAAAAAAAAAGTATTATTGGTTAATAGTGTTAAAAATTGAGTAAAATGTATTTTTGATATTACCTATTTACTAATGTTTTAATTTTAATCCCTTTATTTTTAAAATAACAATTTTGATTCAATTAAATTAATTTAATTTTAGTCTTTAATTATTTTTCTTAAAAATTAATAAATATAATTATTCTTACCTTTGTCGCATGAAAATATAAAAATTTTCATTTTTAATAAAAATAAAAATAAAAATAAAATATGGTTATGTAAAAGAAAAAGTAGACACAATATTAAAACTCATCCTCAATAGTTATGCTCTTCAGAGGCATCCGAAAATATCATTGTGTTTGTTTGGAGATTCTTTCCAAATTTTGCTATTCATCGAATTTTTCAAAAATATCACATCAAACGCCATATTTATCATTTTCATATTATATTAAAAATTAATTTTGCATTCAAAATATCAAATCATTATTTATTTATATCACATCATACAACTATTTCAATTTAAAATTTTTACTATTCAAATTTCAACTCATATCCAAACCCCAAAACAAACACACTATTCATTATTTAAATTAATTTATATTATTATTCTTTTTCAAATATCTCCCTTCAAATATTTTTTTTTTCCAAATAAGTCTTTTCAAAATAAATTTAAATATTTAATTTAAAAATAATTTGTTTGAAACAATATAGCTTATAGCTAATTGTTTGTCTTAATTAAATTGTTACCATAAAAAAATGAAATATATACTCCCTCCATCCCATAACAAAGTATCTATTTTTTCATTTTAGTCCGTCCCACAACAAAGTATTCATTTTCTTTTTTAGTAAGTGTACTATCTATCTAACATTACAAATACCCTTACAACTTACAATATATTACACAAATGTCATTATCTTTATATCACACATATTAACAAGGTTATTTTAGTTATTTCTACTTTATTCTTACTATATCCCAATATAATACTAATATTTCTAAAACTACATGCAAAAAGCAAATAGATACTTTTTTTTGGGACGGATGGAGTATATATATATTGTGGATTTGAGCATGAATTAAATATAATGACATATCTATTTTTGTTAATAGATATTATAAGGAGAATATTTTTTTTTTTAATGATTCTCTAAGGATAGTCTATTGTTTAAAAATGCATATTACTAGTATATCTATTAATTGTTCAAGACAGTGATAATTATGATTTAATTTGAATTATATTAATTGATAAGGGATCAAAATTGTTATTTTAAAAATTTAAAAACTAAAATTGATCCAAATATGAATAAAATAAATCAAAATTATCATTTTAATAATATAGATACTAAAAGTGACAAAATATAAATAAATGGGACCATAATATATTTTACTTGTCAAAAGTTCAAGAAACATGTATATAAACAAAGGTTTGAAAAATGTTTTAGTTTTGATATTAATTGTGTCAAAACAGTATGATATTTTGACTCGGCGAATACAAATATATAATAATAAAAAAATAAATAAAATGGATTTATTTTACGGACACGTATATTTATTTATTTTTTATTTATTTTTTAAATTTTTTTAATTTGACCAAATAAAAAAATAAATAAAATATAAATAAAATTAAAAATAAGTAATGAAATAAAAAATCTACGTGTCCGTCACGTCACCTCCGGCGAGCCACACGGGCGTCTCCGGCGCCGAACAACTAAAACAACGAAAAATTTTCACTTATGGGACTAGTTTACGACAGGCTCTACTTACGATACTAAAATGATAAGAGTGTTACTTGACTAAAAAAACAGTTTACCCATTATAATATATGCACTTACATAATATATAATATCCATACTTTATATACTAACATAAAATATTCGTAGTATTTTTTGTTGTACCAAATGATTTGTCACATCTAGCATAAGAAAAGAAAAATGAAAAATATACATTTAAAGATACAAAATTAAAAATAATAACAAATTAATGTTTAATATTATACTTCTTCCGTCCACTTACCATGTTTACATATTTTTATTTGAGGACGTCTAATTACAAAGTTAACATTTCATTAAATACCCTACTTTTTTCCACAAATACTCTTACTTTAGGTCACATCATTATTTTTACACAAAAAAGTAAGGACAAAAATATTATTACACTACTTTTAACTACTCACTATAATTAAAATACTATTATTTCTTAAATACGACGCCAAAAGTAAATGTAAACAAGATGGAGTATTTTATAACATAAAAATATATTTAATACAAATATTTTTAAAACTTTAAATAATATCAAAATTTTAAAAATATTATAAAGAAGACCGATTGATTTGTAGTTTAATATAAATATTTTTAGTAAAAATACACTATCTTCGTCCCAAATCATTTATGACATTTTATAATAAATTAAAAAATAATAGTATTTTATTAGTATGTAAATTTTTTTATATATATAATTATATATTTGTAATTTAAAAAAATTAAATACTCTCTCCTTGGTAAAAAGTATGGATAAAAAAGTATTAATGTAAAAAGTAGTAGCAATTGTGTAATAAAAATGAAAAAATAGAGGTAGTTTTATGGTTATATGACTATTTATGAATATAAGACTATTGTTTTGGGACAAACAAAAATGGTAGACAAACTATTGTACCGGGACGGAATGAGTAATATTTTGATATTAGTATGCGATTACTTTTTAAAAATAAATAAATTGATAAAAAGTGGGGAGTATGATTTTTATAATAGCATTTTAGTTAAAATAGCATTTAAATTAAAATAAAAAAATAAAATACAAATACAAACTAAAAAAAAAAAATTCACATTATTCCAAAAGAATTTCTATATCATTATTTATGAATTTCCTATACTGCCCTCGTATGTTCTTTTAAACTTTAGCGCCTAAATGCCCAATCAATCAGCTCCCTGATATAGCAAAAACCCATTTTTATAGGCATCGAAAATGGATGTCCGAAAAGCACGGCCGTCCATTTACCACCTCGTACTTATAACACTTTCCCGCCATCGCCATCGCCACCGCCACCGCCGCCGCCACCGGATTATCGACACCGCTCCTCTCCGGGCTTGCTTGTCCGCCATGGCAGGCCCCTTTTCAATAATCCCTTTATTCCTCCTCTCTCTCTCCTCCATCTCTCTCTCCTCCGCCCATCTCCACCTCCACTACGCCGCCCACCACAACCCCGCGCCACCACCGCCGCCGCCGCCGCAATTCCCCAATTGCCGCCTCGAGAAAGCCTACCATTTCTTCCAGGCCTGGAAAACCGCCATTTATTCCGATCCCTACAACTTTACCGCCAATTGGATCGGTACGGACGTCTGCGCCTACAACGGCGTCGTTTGCGCGCCGGCGATTGACGACCACGACCTCACCGTCGTCGCCGCCCTCGACCTCAACCACGCCGACATCGCCGGACACCTGCCGGAAAATATTGCAGACCTCGCCGACCTCGCGATCCTCCACATCAACTCCAACAGATTCTGCGGCGTCGTCCCCGCCGGAATCTCGAAGCTCCGACGTCTGTACGAGCTCGATTTGAGCAATAACCGCCTCGTCGGAGCTTTTCCGATGGCCGTGCTTGACCTGCCGGAAATCAAGTATTTGGATCTCCGGTTCAACGAGTTCGAAGGCCCCCTGCCGGAAAAGCTCTTCGAGAAGGACCTCGACGCCATTTTCGTGAACAATAATCGGTTCAAATCGGCGATCCCGGAGAACATCGGAAACTCGCCGGCGTCGGTGATCGTGATGTCGGGGAACACGCTGACCGGGAAGTTTCCGAGAAGCCTCGCCGGAATGGCGGGGAAGGTCGACGAGCTGATTTTATCGAACAGTAACCTGTCGGGATGTCTGCCGGAGGAATTTACCATGTTTAACACGACGGCGGTTTTGGACCTGCAAGGGAACCATTTCGCCGGCGAGCTGCCGGCGGGGATGGAGAAATTGCAGAGCCTGGAAGTGCTGGATATCTCCGGGAATGAGTTTCGAGGGAAGGTGTCGGAAATGGTGTGCGCCCTGCCGAATCTGAAAACCCTCGCCGTCGCCGGAAATTACTTCGAGGAGGTGGATCCGGCGTGCGAGGCGCTGCCGGAGGTGGTGGTGGACGACAGGGATAACTGTCTCGTGACCGGCCGGAATCAGAAGCCGGAGGAGGAGTGCCGGGCGGAGTTGAGTAGGGAGGTTGTTTGTGACGCCGGTAAGTCCAGGTCGACGGCGGACGAGGAGGCGGCGCCGCTCGAGTTTGAGAAAGCAGTGCCGCCGCCGCCGCCGTCGCAGCCAAAAACGCCGTCCACGGCGAGGGTGGCGCCGAGGGCGTCTCCCAAACCGCCAAAATCTTTCATTCCACAAATTGTTAAATCTTCTCCGCCGCCGCCGCCGGCGGCGGCAGTGTACTCCTCTGCGCCGTCGCCGTCGCCGTCGACGGCATTCCCACCGATCAAAATACCTGAAAGCTTAGGCGGCCGTTACTTGTCGTCTCCTCCGCCGGCGCCGGCCATGGCCGAGTACTAAATCTAAATGGCTTCTGTTACGCCTTTATTTAAAAAAAAAGTAAAAAAATAAAAAAATAAAAAATCCAATGAACAAACAAATGTAAATTTATGTCCGCCAGTTTCTTCACAGGTAATGTTAACCGTACGATGGTCAATTCTTTACGCCTTGTTTTTCAGAATTTCGGATTATTTGAATACATCATTCTTAAATTATTTTTTTTAAAAAAATAATATGTGTACGAAACACTAAAATTTAATAAAAATATAAACAATATCAGTATTTATATCTACCAGTTTTTAAAGTAAATAAATAAAACTATAAATACTACTACCTCTTTTGGTTTTATAAATATTAAATGTATTTTTTTACTATTTTAGTATTTATTTATTTTTAATATAAAATTTATGTGATAAAAATGTATATAAAGATTAATAGTATTTATTTATTTTTTGTCTAAATTTTAATAAGTTTATATGTTTCTAAATAAAATGTTTTTTTATATATATAAAATGATTAATAAGTTCAATTGTTTTAAATTTACAAAATTATAATTTAAGCAAAAATAAATATATTAAAATAATTATTAAATAACATAAACAAAGAAAAAAAAAAGACCAAATAGAAATAGAATATATTATGACAAATTAGCTTTAAGAGTCCTATAAATTCTTTCAATAAACTAGTTTACTAAATATTAAAATTTATTGTACTATTATTAGTCAACTAGAAACTATTAAATAAATCCTTGTCCAAACACCGTCAAAGTTATATTCTTAAATACTATAATAGATATGGTACTTAGCCATTCGTATTTTGTATATACATTATTATGTATTTCGATCACACTTGGAGAAATACACGTGTGTGTATATATATATATATGGCGACAGTTGAGGCGTTGACTTAGTCAAGTCAACATCGTGTTAATTTGATCAATCAACATTTTAAATTAAGACGATTAACATTTCATCGTAAGATAAATAACATATCATTTATTATATAGAAATAGATGTTGTGTGAGTCATAAGTTCAAAATAATAATAATAAAAAAAAAGCATATTTATTTATTTCAATTTTTCTTTCATCAGTCATACAACTCACATCACTCAAATATATCACACAGACTCACTAACTATCAGTGTTTAACTCCTTACTCGTTTTTGGAATAACCAATTCCGTGATAACAGTGTCAAATAATTCATAAAAAATTGAAAATTAAGATTTATCACAAAAGATTCAACCAAAAATCAACGTAAAACTATATAACACATAAAAGTTTAAGATTAGCCTTTCGATACTAACTCAGGGCCAATAATTAATATTCTGATTCAAACTGCACAACTCGAGTTCCAACCAAGCTCTAATACCATAGTTGGGGAACAATTAGGGTGCTGAATTGGAAAAATCAGCACCCAACACCCATAATATATACAAACAACACACACTCTTATTATAGACAACACATATTATGTATAATAAAGACAAGTGTTGTTGGTTCATAATTATAAGTGTGTTGTATAACAGTACGTGGTGTGCTAAAACTATTCTCTTCATCCCAACTTACATGACCCATTTTTCTTCTCAAATAAGATGATCTATTATTATTTTTATTAAATTTAAAATTTATAAATATAATTAACAAATATAAACTAATTTAACTAAATTTCAAACATCTCACAATGAGACTCATTCAAAATCCTTTTATTTATTTTTTTCAATAAATAAATATTTTTATTTATATTTAAATTTTCTAATTTTTTATAAAATTAATTTATGTTAATTATAGATAAATAACTATTTTCATTTATATATGTGTGATTCATCTATACAAAATGTATTGGCTTGAAACTCGAAATACGTGGTTTTTGCTCGTAATGTTAAATGTGGGATGTCACAATGACGGATGATGTTGTAGGCTGTTACTGTGGAATTAGAGCGCTTGTTTGTACTATAGATGAAAATTTTGAGAGGTTCAATTGTTGTCTCAAGTCGAAAGTATCAATTCTTTAGTTTATTTATACTCTCTCTATCCGACAAATTTAGCTCATTTCTTTTGTATTTTTACAAAAAAATTGGGATTAAATTTCCCGGATAGAGGAAGTATTATAATATGTAGATATGTGTTATTACATTATATTTGTTGTGCGAGTGTTTTGTTGAGAGTATTTGTTGTATCAACAAACAAGGATTATCATCCCGGATTTGTTAAAAAAATTGAACAAAAAAGAGGCATAAACCATTATCCCGAAGCAATGAGTAAGAAAATAACAAAAAGTATTTGCCCTATATCTTGTTGTTGTTGTTCTCAAATCTGCGTGAACGTGTAAAGCTTAATGTTATTAATCAGGATAGGCTTTTTTGGTGGTTGTTTTTTTGTATTAGGAGTCTATAACAGCTCGAAAGTTTGATATTTTGGTTGTAATTTATGTTTTGTATTAGAATTGTTGTTTAACATTTTGATTTTGGGTATAAGAAATGTATATGTGATATTTGTGTTAATTGAATGCTCTAGACATTAAAGAAAGGAGAAAAAATTTGTGTTGTGCTTGACATATAATAATTTTATTCCATGAGTACATTCAAATGAAATATGTAGAAATCAGCCAATGTCGAGTACTAACATTGCAAATCAAATTTACAAAAAATCAACAATACAACTCCTCATAGTCGTAACTTAAAACAACAATTCATCACTACATCACATTAACCAATCCTTTCTGCCTATATAATTTTACGGGCCACGAGTTCATCCTCACGACCTCACGATCACGAATCAATTCCAACACCACCAAGTCATCACTTACGGAATAACATTAATTGTATTTTTGTTTTCTAGTAAAATACGTATTGTCCTTTTAAGACTACCTCCGCCCTGTTCTAAATGTCTCGTTTACTTTTTGCGTATTGATCTTTGAATATTAATTATTATATCAAAACATAGTACAAATTAAGTAAAAATTGCAAAAATACATTTGTACAACAAATTATACAAATATAATGATATTTTTAATGTTAAGTACAATGACGCAAAAGATAAATGTGATCCTTAGAGGCGGATGGAAGGAGTAATATTTTTTTATTTGATTATTATGTAATTTCTACGCTCCAAATATATCCACACATTATTCCATCTATCGAATGTCACACCAAACTACAATGCAAGTATCAAACACTAACTACAAATACAAACACAAACCAAACAAAACATACATATTATTTCCAAAGTAGTCATTCATAAACATACATACATATATACTTATATATATTCATTATTCTCGAATCACACTTTCTTGAAATGGTATATTTGAATATTCTCGGCCTCGAGCTTCTTGTAGTTGCTTAGTTTCCGACTCGTGAAGAATTTTCCCCAATTGTAAGCATTGTATTTGGCCGGATTTTGTTCATCGACGAGCTCTTCCACAGGCTCGACCATGGTGTAGTGTGCCGGATTTAAGAAGAAAGGAACCGAGAACCGTTCTTTCTCCGAATTCACTTTCACCCGGTGCTCCACGCTTTCGTACTTGTCGTTGCTCCAAACCTGTACTCATAGTTGAAAACATGAATTAATATAATCCTATAAAATGACTTTGCTTAAAAAGAACGAATTATGTGCGAGCTTAAATTGTTTAAAATTATTTGAGTTTAAAATACCTTTTTCATGTTATATAAGCAAAGTCTAGAAAAAAAAATTAAATTGTACACAGAGTTTGGATTTTGAGTTGGGATTTAAATAGTAAAAATTTTGAATTTAAATAGTTGTATGATGTGATATAAATAATTGTTGATGTGATGTTTTGAATGTAAAATTGATTTTTAGTATAATATAAAAAAAATGAAAAATAGGTGTTTGATTTGATATTTTTTAGGGAAAAAAATGGAATGAATAGTGTATATTAAATCCAATTCCTCAAACAAACACACCCTTATTTTGTCCTTGAACATTCGATACATAATATTCATAATATTCGTTGTAAAAGTTAGAACAGATAATACTAATATTTCTAAAACTACGTGCAAAAAAAATGGATATTTAGTTTCGGGACGGAGGGAGTATTATTTTTATTTTTTTTTAAGAAACATATCATATTCAAATTAAAAAATAAAAAAATTAAATGTAAAAGAGTCTGAGCAATTGATAACACATATATAGGACTTAATCAAAAGTCTTTGTAATAAAATTTACCTGTATAATGTCTCCGACATTGATGATGTACGTGTTTGGGTTAGGTTTAACAAGAATCCATTCCCCATCGCTTTTTCTTCTCACTTGGAGCCCTCCCACACTATCTTGTGCAAGAATTGTTAGCGCGCCGCCATCCTTATGTCGACCCACCCCCAAAGCTAGATCAGAAATCGGACATGGAGGATAGTGATTTAGCCGGATGAAGCTTGTTTGCTCGTTGAAAAAATTATTGAATCGATCTTTTGCCAAGCCTAAGCTTAGTGCTATAAGCTCGAGCAACTTGAATGCTAGCTTTTGCATCTCTTCTCCATATTCTCGACAAACCTCCCTAAGGAGAATTCGATTAGAATATTAAGGTAAAAAATGTTCGAAAATTGATTGGGATGTTACTTGTTGAACCCATTGACAAGAACAATTATACTACTTTAAAGCAACTAAACAAAAGGTACCGTAAAAAAAAATTTTGAATGAATTATTTTTTAACGTATTGAAAAAAAAAAAAACTATATTAAATTATATATTTAAGAAAGTTCACTTCTTATTCCATGATTCACTAGTCCATATTCACAAAGTTTTTTTTTTTTTTTTTTTTTTCAAATATTAATTATATTGAGGTGTATTTGTTTGGGGATTTGAATTTTGAGTTGGGATTTGAACAGTAAAAATTTTGAATTTGAATAATTGTATGATTTTTAATATAATATAATATAAAATTGATTTTTAATATAATATAAAAAAATAAAAAATAGGTGTTTGATTTGATGTTTTTGGAGAAAAAAAAATAAGATGAATAGTGGATTGAAAATCCAATCTTTCAAACAAACATACTAATATATAATTTTTGTATTTCTATCTTTCATCTAAACATATTTATCTATTCAAACATTTTATATTATTAATCATATATAGATTTATATTTTCAAATTAGTTAGTATTATATAAAACATTATTTCCTTGCAAAAAAAGACTTTTTTGTGAATATATATAATTTATAAAATACGTTAACATATATGTTAATTTTATTTTAATTATGAATTCAACCATCGGACCAAAGACTTGGTCAAGTTATTCTAATTTTGAGTGTGTTTAATTTTAATTTCACCTATATTCAATTGGTAAAGTACAAATATTGTATTAAAATAAATTAAATCACCAAAACATAAATTCAAACAATTTATTTGTGAGTGTAAAGAAATAAATATTTAATTTAATATAAATAGACTTTCCACACGAAAATATCCTATAGAATATGTCGTGTCTGTCCATTCCGTGCGTACCAAAATTGTGTTAAATTATAAAATATATTATTTTAAATTAAAATATATTTTTTTTTTATATAAAATATTTTATGTTTTTTTATATTATTATTTTACAATCGCAATTAAAAAATAGTAGGAGTATATATTTATAACTGAATAGAGTTGTAGTAATAAAATGAGTACGTACCTCATCGCCGGAGGCTTTTCCGGCCACTGGTTAACCATGACCTTAACCGTACCGTCGGCGGGGTCCGGCGACGCCGGAATGACGGTGGGGTCTTGGACGGTGAAATCGAAGACCTCCTTCCAGTCCCTGACGTTCTTAGTGTGCTCCGTGTCGTAATATCCTGTGGGGTTCGCTTCGTCTCTCGATACCTTCTTCTTCTCCGGCGTCTCCAGCCCGAAGAACTCCCTCGCCGCCGATTCCATCCTCCGGCGGACCTCCTCCGCCACGCCGTGGTTGATCACCTCGAAGAATCCCCAATTCCGGCAGGCTTCTCCGATCTCGACGGCCAGTTTGGCGGAGTCGGTTGAGGACAGATCGATTGTGGGAATCCCGTCGGCCTCGGGGGCGTGGGGTTTCGGGCGGTTTTCGACGGCCTGAATGAACGCCGGCGAGGCTTGCAGCGGAGGTGCGGCGGCGCCCATGGTGGTGTGGTTAGTTTGTGCAGATTGAATTAATTATATCTGTATATGTATATAGTTTGGGAGAGATTCATTGAATCTGGACGGAGTGTGTGATTGTGAAATAAAGTGTGGGTTGGCTTGGGTTGGGTTGGTGGTGACGACGATGGTTTTGTTTTGATGATTTACAGCTATAGTCGGAGACAGACTATATATTGTTTATTTACGTTTTTACTTTTTTATTTTTATTTTTTTAACTATGTGGTTTTTTTTTGTTTTTTTGTTTTTTTTTTCTCAAAACTTCCAAATTCTATTTGGTTTGTATATTTTTGAAATACATATATATTTTTAAGAAATATTTTATTATATAGTATTATTTTAATATTAAATGAAAATTAAATTTCATTGTAATTTTTTACAAAAATATAAGTATATTATAAATTATTTAAAAAAATATAAAATTAACACCAACATCCCAGCAGCAGCAAATAAATTTATAAATTTTTTTTTATATGTGTAATGTTGTTGATATTTAAATATTTTTAAAATTATATCTCAATAAAATATATGTAATATGGATATTATTTTATAAACAATAAAACTTTATATAATACAAATGAATAAAAAAATATTTATTTATTTATCATTATCATAAATTAGTTTTATAAAAAATGAGTAATTTTAAAGATAGATAAAAATATTTGTTAACTGAGGAGAGAGATAGAAATAAAAGAGTTTTGAGTGGTCTACACATAAAATGTTAGAAGTCTAATTAAATTGATTTATATTTATTAAATATGTTTAAAATTGATAAATTTACCAAAAATGAAAATAGGTCATCTTTTGTGGAACGTATCAAAAAGGAAATAAAGTCATCTGTGGCGGGACGGAGAGAATATTAATTTCTGATAGCACAATATAATAAACGGCATTAAATACTCGGTGTAGGAGATTCAATCCCTTCAAATGATATGATAACACGATGAAAAGAAAGATGAAAAGGAAAATAATACGAGTATGATATAGAATTTATGTATTTTTTAATTATATTTTCTTCATTCTATTTTTCATGTTTATTTTTTTATTTTCGATCGTTTCATTTATTTTATCACTTTTTTGAATTATACACTTAAATTTTATTTTTAAAAATATAATTTATGATTTTTTGTTTTTAATTATACTAATTACTTACATTAATCTATAATTATTTTTATTATACGATAATTATTTTCACTAATATATTTTTAATTATTTATTAATTATACTCTTACTAAATTTCTATGTCTACAGTAAACCGGACAAAATATTCGGGATGGAAGGAGTGTTTCTATTATTTACTAATTAATTTTATTTGTTTTTTTTTAAAATAAAAATAAAAATTATATTTCAAATTAATTTTTATTCAATCATTGAAAAATAAAAATAAATTAAATTAAATGAAAAATGAATTTAGATTTTTTTTGTAATATTTATTATTTTCTATAAAATATCATTCTAAAAGTAAAAAATAAATATATATATAAAAAAACTATTTAATGTATCCTTGTAAAATTTATAAAATAACTTAATAAAAAAATATAATTAAATTAAATTAAATTTAAGTATAATTTTTATATTTTATTTTTTGTTGAAAACATTTGTTAAATAATAAATAATAGGTAAACAAAAATATAAGTTGTTTTTATTTTAAATTTTATTGTGTTATTTTATGATTAATTTTTGTAAAATTATTTTATTCTTTATAAAGAATTTGTTTACTTCATATTTTTAGGTGTTAACAATTCTCATAAATATTATAAATAAATATATAATATATGCATATACGTAACACAATATATACACTTTATACCATCGCAAAAAATTAATAATTCAATCCAAGGTATTAATTTTTTATATTAATAACTTAAACCATTGTATCTAACATAATAAAATATATTCATATAAAAAATACAAAATGAATAGACATCCTTATATCACGTTACATTAAACTATTATGAAAATTATATTAAAATATTAAATAACTTTTTTTTATATATAATATTATAGTTAAAAGAAATATTACATTTACTTTTTGCATTATGATATTTGAATAGTAATTATTATATAAAAATATATTACAAATGGCAAAAATAATTTTATTAGTGTCTTATAATACTAATATAATGATATTTGTACAAAAATTATGTAAATATAATAGATATTTTTAATGTTAAGTACAATGATACAAAATACAAATAAATACTTTATTATAAAACCGAGAAAGAGTACATAAATTATTTAAATTATAATTATCTTTTTTTCTCTTTCTTTCTCTCTCTCTCTTTTCTGTGTCGATTTCTTTATTTAATTTGTTTGAATAAAGAGGAGATGAATTAAGGGTGTGTTTGTTTGAGGGTTTGGATTTTGAATTGAGATTTGAATAGTAAAAATTTTGAATTTAAATAGTTGTATAATGTGATATAAATAGGTGTTGATGTGATGTTTTGAATGTAAAATTGATTTTTAGTATAATATAAAAAATAAAAAATAGGTGTTTGATTTGATATTTTTGGGAGAAAAAAATAGAATGAATAATGTATATTAAATCCAATCCCTCAAACAAACACACCCTAAGAATATAAAATTTGATATGATAATAGACAATGTTTGAATAAAGAGTAGATGAATTTCATAATATAGATTTTAATATGATAATAGACAATATAGACAATACATATGTGCATAACAAATAATTTGAATTAATTATGACATAATATCAGATATGAAGACTAAAAAATAATAATAGTTTAATATAAGTGTAGAAAAATTTAAAATTAAAATAGAGGTATCATAGTAAAATTATTAAAAAGTTAAAATAAAGTAGTAGACTAGTAGTGTAAGAAAAAATAATAATACATTACAATATATGACAACCAATTTATAAAATTAAATTTCAAAAGACACAAATTATATCTATTATATCTGAATTATATGTATCTATTTAGTTTTTTGCATGTAAATTTTAATATATTGGTATTTTATATTAGGTAATAGTATAGTAGATTTTTTTTTTTTTTTTTTTTTTTGTGCCCTTAAATTCATTTATTATTTAATAATATTGTCTGTAATATTATGTACAATGTAAGAATAAATTTATTAAACTAATAATTACATTTACTGGAAAAAATATATACTCCAATACAATAGTTTTATTTACTATTTTTGTCTATTCCAAAATAATAGTCTTATTTTCATAAATAATCGTATCACTATATATCTACTTTTACTCTTTTATTATTATTACATAATTGCCACTATTTTTTACACTAATATATTCACAAGGACAAAAATATTTTTTAACTATACTTTTTACCCATTATCAATATAATATCAATATTTTTTAAATCATGTGCCCAACGCAACTAAGACTATAGTGTCCGAACAGAGAAAATATATATTTGCGTTAGGATATATGAAAATGACAAAAATTGTTACATATGATACGGATAGAGCATTTGTTTTGTATTTATTTATTTATTTAAATAATAATTAAAAAAGATATTTTATTAAAAAATAAAAATTACTTTTACATATAAAAAAACTGTAAAAAGGTGAGAAATCAAAGCATAGAGATGGAGACAGCGATAGAGATTCATTGAACCTGGATGGAATTGTGTTGTTTATCGGACATAAGGGTAATGGCATTGTAAGGTTGTTTGTCGTGCTTGTATTGGTTGTATCGTCCCATAATTATCAGTTTGTCCACATTTTCTCGTAAAAAATATATATATATATTTTTTATTTGTTTGGAATCAGATAATTCATATTTAAGAAATAAATGATTTTTTATTTTTTATATTTATTTCTATTTCTTGTGTATAGATATAAAAAAATAGAAAAATGTGTGGGATGTTTCTATTTATCATTTTTTTATATATTATTTAATTATTATTATTTTAAAAAAATATACTTACTTCGTCTATTCGTCTCTCTGACGCTCATATTTACCTTTTTTTTTTATTCTACTTAATTTAAAAATATTATTATATTTATATAATTTTATATATAAATGTTCTTTTCTATTAATATTATAAGACACTAATTGAAATATTTTTGCATTTTTTTTTAATTTGTACTACATTTTGATATAATAATTAATATTCAAATATCAACACGCAAAAAAGCAAATCCCTTTAGAGCCGGACGAAAATAGTATTATTCTAATTGCATAAGACAATCACATTCAAGTTATTATTTTAACAAAAATTTACAAAAAAATTCACTAACCAAACACAATAAATATTTCTTTATAAATTCCGACTTTGCTAAAACCCTCTTTTAATCTAATTCATATTCATGGTCAGATAGATTCATCTTCGCTTTATCTACTCTCAATACATCATCTCTTTCATATTACTATATTTATTTTTTTATTACTATAATTATATAGTTTATCAAATAAAATATTGAATTCATAGGATTTGTTTGCTTTGTGAAATTTTTTCTACATATTTTTTTAAAAACATTAATATATTATATATATCGTTATTTTTATATAATTTACATAATTTTTTATATTTTACATAATTTTTTTTCAAACCAAAGTACAAATCAAATACACCCATATTTTTTATTGATTTTCTTTTTTCGAAAATTTTATTATTCGCTATTATTTCTCTTCAACTTTTTTTTTTTTTTTGACCAAACCATCCTTATAATTATAGTAGTATTAATTACTTATATATGTATCATAATTAGGCTTTTTCATTTAGATAGAAGATTTTTAAATTTGAAGTTTTGGAGTTTGAATCATTTTGAAAAAAGTAAATATATATATATATAATTTATGTGATGCTTTATGAAAATAAAAAAATATTTTCTATGATTTTTTAAAAATATTATTATTAAATTATATCAAATTTTCAAAAATTACCTATTTTTGTTTTTTATTTTTTAAAGTTATATTTCACTCTATATTGGCATTAGAGTGTGTATTTGGGATTTGGAAGTCGAATGTTGAATTTAAATACTGTACTAAAATTTACTTATATTACAAATAAACAAAAATATAATTATAACCCACAAACAAACAAAATCTTATGTTTAATTATATATAATTTTTGTTACTACGTTGATTGGTTCAAATCAGCATG